TATTTATCTCGCATGTAAACATAAATATGTCGCATGTTTACATTAATAAGTTGCATGTCGACATAAATAAGTTGCATGTCAAAATAAATAAGATGCATGTCGACATAAATAAGTTGCATGTCAACATATTTATCTTGCATGTTAACATAAATAAGTAGCATTTAAAATGTTGGATGTCACATGTGGGCGATATTTAAGATTTTCAAAGATTTTTTTTATAATACTTATTTGATCGCAATTTCTTGCATGTGAACATATTTATGTTGCATGTTGACATAACTATCTTGCATGTCAACATATTTATCTTGCATGTCGACATATTTGATAGAAAAATAACTTGCACACAAGGGGCAGAAATATGCCACCATACCAACAGGACATAACTCTAGCTAATTTGGGCTTACTGAAAACTATTTATACATGTACGCAGCACTCAAAGCAATTGAGCAATTCAATTCTATTTTTACCTTCATATCTAGTTTACATAGGTTCTAAAATCTAGGAAATATGCAAGAAGGTAGACCGTTTTATGCAAAAAATATGTAGATTTTTTCCATTTGGTGTAGAGTTTAATTCAAATGTGTCATACCTCACTTCTTGAAAATTTCAGTTCTTTATCCGTTGTGTTTTAAATTCTGTTCACTTTCATAATGATATATGATTTTCATTTTTTAAAAAAATTTATTAAAATTGTGCTAAATTATGTGTAGTTTCAAAATTAAGATTTTACGGTAAGATATAATATTCTATTTTTGTAAATCTTGACTTGAAAACTGTTATTTTTAGACATTGATTTGTTGGTAACGGTATGTAAAGGATTTTATTTGCAGTATTGTTTTTGGTTTAAAAGAAAACAATAAGTCAAAAAGGATAAGCAATAAGAATCCTTTGGTTTAAGAGGAATTGGCTAACCTCCCTTTGAGTATTCGATTAAATACCTAGATAAAAGAGCTTTATATCTAACTCGATGCATTACAATATGTCTTTAATTAAATTTAGTGATCTTTCATTTCACTTGTCATCGTGTTGCTGTAGTATCAAAATCTTGATAGTTTTTAATTTATTATTAGTAGAGGTTTTGATTTCATTAATATCATGCGTCTGAACTTTATTAAAATATTTAAGCAGTTTTTCTTTCCTGTATAGCATACTGATTCTTTAGTTATCCATCAAACCAATAGTGTAGATAAAACTTGACAAAAAGTTTAAATTTACTATATAAACACTACACCTATTTTGCACACTGCTTGTTTTAACAAAATGAAATTATTCTATATTCAAAGATGAAAAAGCAACCTAGGCACAAAAATGAATATCATGGATTGAAAGATTTTAACCGTTCATTGATTTCTCAAACAATTCAGAGATTGAGTATGCGACTGTTCTTAATAATTATCTCAAAAGATATACTGCTGACATAATATGAATAAGATGCGTAAAACTAAATTTGCGATTGATAACCGACAAAGAAAAAATCAGAACAAACATACATGTTTACACAAAGCTACATGTACAGCTTTTTGTACTGTAACAGGTCCTTTCAACTGCATACGTGTGCCTTAATTGACTGACTTCATCATTCAGAGATTAACAAAAAAGGTGACTCAAAAATCTTAGGAAAATTTACGGTTCATGAAAAAAGCAAGGTTTTCCAATCAATTGAAGATTAGACAAATCTGGTTTTAAGTTTTAACTTTCATAAGTCGATTATCGTTTGTACGAGTGTAGATGAAGGATAAATTATGGACATAGCGAACAGTATTAAATATCAAAGTCCATAAAACAATACAAAATAGGCACAGAGCAAACACGGAACTCCAAAACATCAGATCCCATGGAGAAGTGAGCATCGCCTGCACACCCTCCATGTGCTCCCTGTCATGATCGCAATAACTCCGTCGTCAATTCAGTGCATACAATGTAAATAATGGACTCACAATTTGTATGGAAAACGTCAGTCAGCATATTACTCAATAATAAACTGTATTTGCTGACAAGTTCATTGTATCGACCACAGAACGTGCGAAATGACGCCTTTCAACGAGACTTCTGATATTCTTGTTTCATCAACTTGTTTGTCTATGATCTACCTCGATTTAAGAAACTGTTCACAAGCAGAACACGCTCTTGCACATCGAATCAACTCAGATACATGAACTCCGTATGCCGATGATGAAAACACATTGCTGTACAAGCAAGGGAAGCTGACGACAGAAAAGTTAAAGTCATCACGTTTATTATAGAGCTTCATTGTTAGATAACCATTAACACCTTTTTCAAAAAATATATCCAGGTATGAAACAGATGTGTCAGACTCTGTGGGATCCCACATCCCAAGCTCACCAGGATATATCGTATCGATATAGGAATGGAAATAACCATTAATAATTGACAATCTGCCGTTGATATATCTAAATGTCGAGTTGAAGACCACAGCAAGTGTTTTCTTTTTTTCACGCATAAGATTTTGCACAAATTCTGCTTCATATAAATACAAAAATAGTTCTTCTAATAACGGAGCGCAATTAGTACCCATGGAATTTCAATAGATTGTTTGAAGAGAAGTGATCTCAAAAAACACAAATATATATAGGCAGCATGTTTTTCTTGGGGGGAGAGGGGGGGGGGGTTCGTTCACAAACCTTTGTTTGGCTTTATACAGAGTGTTCTCGAAATTCTACGTGGGACTTTGATGTTTTAAACAATAACTTGTTTCTTACACATTAATACCAGTGCATTTATTTTTAACTAGAACTCTTGATATAAAAATATCCTAATTCTACATCATAAGCTCTAAGGACAGACTTGTGACATGATATTAAATCTTTTTCAAAGAAAAAAATTGTTTATATTATCTGTCCTTAACAGTAAATGTGTTACGGTGTTAGGTATAATTTTTCGGACTTATTATTAATTACTGTGTAAATAAACCTTTTGAGTAAATTGTTTACCGAGGCCAAGTCAAATTCGAGTATGCATGACTTTGTGCAGCGTTTTAATTTCATGTAGTCATTTGTGCAACAATGCACCTTTGCCAAATATTTTGATTTTAATAAAAATATACATTATATGTAATTTTTGCATAATGGGCCTTGCTCGTAGTTAATTATATGCAAATTATCCCATGTTTCCCACTATCGTTGATGCCCTGGCATATTATACTAACTAAACAGTGATTTCTTAAATATCGTAATTTGAGAGGTATTGAAATGTGAAGAAATAATCTAAGTTAATACTTCCTAGACCAACCTGGATAGTGAAGTTGTTTTTTTTTTAATTTCACTATTTGGTGACTTTTTACGAAAACTTTCATCTAATTGAATGAAAAAGAAAATAGAAAAATGTATGTCAGGCCAAATTCACAAAAATGAGCTAAACATAGTTTCACAATCGATAAAAAACGTTAATTTATATTTTGCATCTGTAAAATAAAGTTAACGCGATTATCTATGTTTCAGAACTGTAAGCTATACTTAACACTGAAAAAAATTATTTGCGATTGCAAAACATATATTATCTAATAAATATATATTATTATAACAGTAACTTGATCCGAAGGGTCGTATTACGTCGAGTTAACAGGCGCGGATCATCAGATATAGCGAGACTCGAAGCGTCGAGTTTGATCTGATTATCCGCGCTAGTCAACGAGACGTGATACGGCTCTTCGGATCAAATTACTGTTATAATAATAAATGTATTATATGCCCTCTTATAACTAGCAAAATATAGCAAAATAAAATTTAGAGATCAATTGTATAATATCTATCCATAAAACAAGGCGTAATAACAAGGGACTTTTCGATGCGCAAGAAAAATAACGTCATGTTTCTGTGTACTACGTCATCAGTTTCAGAGAGTGGTGATATGGATTCAGAAAAACACAGTGTGGAGATCCAGAACGTCGGATCACGAAGTCAGGTGATAGCGTAAAATCAACAGTAAAATGAGTGATGCACGTAAGGTATATAATAAATACTGTTTCACATCTTCAAAGCCGTTCCTAGTTCTTTTCCTTTTTTTTTTATCAATTTTGATGTTTTCCTTCAAACGCACCCCAAACACTTTACTCTTAAATGTTTTGCTTACATGGTATACGAGTACTGTTTTAGAGTAATGTGTGCTTGGATCTTGTATTAAATAAATTTAAATTTACACCACTCTACCCTATACAGATTATACGTAATCAATCCAAATATTTTTAACATTTAATTTTGCCAAGATAATTTTATATTTATTGCATGTACTTTTCCTATTTAAATAAAGTAAAGCTATATATACCTTTCATTTTGTCTGCAATTAATTTCCTTTGGGAAAATGGCAGGTTCCATACATTGAAAACGAAAATTAACATCTTTATAATTTTAAAGTATCTTCATGTCCTTTTCACATATTTTATCATTGTCCTAGAAATATTTGAAAACAATTTGTTCATGCCTTATCATTACTAATAAACCACCTGATCTGTATTCAGACATGTAGATATGGACTCCTTTTAAGCTACAAAGTCCTTGCTTTTTTAAACATTTTCTGTATCACTTTCCTAAAATTCATGATTCAGATAAAAGTACCGGATTAAATAAAATACAATTTTTTCACCTGGTGATTGATTTTCAAAATGACTTGAATATTTGATTGAACATCTTTAATTCTTATAATGAATTTATTATGTATTTAAGTAACAACATTTTTATAAAACCTTATTCTCACTCTCAATTCATCTCAGCAACCTCACCAATCTTTTCCGTAAACATTTCATATATTAATAATTTTATATCACTTGAACATCCATGAACTAAGGTTACTAGCACTCTAACCTGAAAACTAAAAATTTTTAATCAGCTGTTTGACTCCTTCTCTATTAGTAGTTCACAATCTTGTTCCGAGTATGAATGTCCATTGTTGACCTAATTATAACCAAACTTTTCCTACGGAAATCCAACGTACTTTGATTTAAATGCAAAACATTTTGCAATAGAAATCAGAATAACATATTTTAATTTCAATTTCCATTAACTCCCATTAAGGTGTCAATCCATTCTTTAAACATAGCTCAGAATTCTGTCTTGATGTGTTGTCTATATTTTCAGTAGAGCCTCTAGAACCTTTTCTTCTTGATATGAAGTCATTGTTTGATGAATTTAAAAGCTTCTTTTCCTCTTCATGCAATTCTTCTCTCATCTGATCGGACACTGCGACTTTTAGTTCCAATTCTAGATAAATATTGTAAAGTTCAATTAGAATATATCTGGAGATATCATTCATCATCTGTACATGTATCATTAATACTCAAATTATTTCAAGCACTAGAAAGATTTTTGCGGATAGGTTCATGAACAAAATATTATTTAGATGCTTGAAGTTGAATACGAACTTCTATATATATTCACTTCTATTAAATACATTGTCAGGAAATATAGCATTTTATATTATGGTCATCATTGCAGTAATTGTATGATGTTACTGTAACAACATATAGGATAATAAATTCAAAATGAAAACAGAATCTAATGGACAAAAACTCATTCTTGATGTAAATTTATCCCACCTGATTTATCTGTATTCGTTTGATAAACATCTTCCATTGAAATAGAAGAAAATGCGTGGGTTTCTTTTGCTTCCGGTCTTTTCTGCAAAAAGAAATTGTTTCATACAAAACTATTGAATAAATGTGCAGATGTTTTGAATATATGTTGAAAAGACAAAATTATAGACTTTTAGATTATTTGGTTGCCGATTGAATAGTAAAACCTTGCCTTTTGGGGTATAAAACACATAACAATCGCACCAATTATGGGAGGGGCACCGGCAGTAACAAATGCTATGTCATATGTATGTAGATGATCGTAGAGCAAACCTGCAAGAATGATGAATGAACTGTAATACTTCTGTTTGTTTGTTTAAATCTGTGTTTGTTTGTTTTTTCATAAATAATGTATTTTTAATCTTATCAAACCACATATTCAAGTTACAAAAATGGCGTGCAGAAAAGCTTTATATAAAGTCAGATTCTAAATAACACTTAAAACATTTAATCTTTCGACAATGTTATAATTCAAAGCTATAGAAAGACGGTGAGATTTTATTTGTAAAGGTAATATATTATCTTGCTTGGGTTTGCATTCCGGTCATTGTAAGATTAAGGTTATGGCTAAAAATCATTCCTGGCAAACCAGTTTCTGATTTTATCAAATACATTAATTTGCTGTGAATTTATTATCATTCGGGAATTCAAAGGTTTATTAACAGATATATTTCACATTCCAACAGGCATTAGTTTTCTAACCTGCAATAGGAGGGCCAACGGTAAACGGAATAGAAAATCCACCTAACATGAATCCAATAGCCTGTGAAGCATTCTGAGGACCAACAAGGTCAAAGGCAATAGGACCTAATAAACATACACTTATTCCGTCACAAATGCCCATAATGAGACAAATAGCCACTAGTCCTTCAAAACTGGCACTGAATGGAATACATGCAGTTACGAAGCCTGTCACTACGAATGCACATTGTTGCATATAAATTCGATTTACAAATTTCAAGTCAGCTATTTTTCCAAACACTAATCTTCCAATACCCGAAGTAACTTGCATGCAAGTGATCAAAATAAATGCATTGGATTTGGGAAAGGCTTCTTGAGTATGTTTAACCTAAAATTGAAAAAATCTGCTATCAAAAGTAAAAGGAAGGACATTGGCCTTAAAAACATAGTACATGTATAAACAATTAATTTTGACTATATGTTAAATGAAAGAAGATGATATGTCATCGATACTAAATTTGGGTGAGTACACAATCATGTAAAGGCAAATAAAAGTCTTAACATCAAAAGATCTGTACTTCCCATTTCACTCATAACAATATCCTTCATTCCTGACTTAATTCAAACTTCATGAAGTGACCTTAACTGATTATTAAATTCTGAAATCCGAGGCTTTACTCCTGTTTAAGATTCTAGGAGCAAGATAATTTGAAAAAAGTAGAAATGATGCCTAGACGACACCTCTTCTACTCGGATGGAACTTATGAAATTGTGTCTCCACCAAAAAATCGCCCGGGGAGAGGGGGTGGGGGTGGAGAGTTGTTGGAGAAAGAGAACACAAATTGAAAAATAATTGACAAAAAAGAGTTTTTCAAAACTCACGACCAATTACAAAGAGAGAGCGGGATCCACGCTAATTTTCTGTCTAAAACATATTTTGGTACAGTAATGTGAGAAAATTTGACCACACTGCAACCAATATAGAAGGGATGTAGTCGGCCTAAGAACGTTTTTTCTTTTCATAAAGTAACGACCACAAAACCTTTGTACAAAACACCGCATTGGTTCTACTGGAATAGTATTATCACATTTCAAAAGTCATATTTGAAAAAAAAAGTGCTTTAGTTATAATCTGCTTTAACATCTAACCGTTGAAATACGCACTTAAGCATTGATGTAATTTAAATAGTACTAACTGTACAAAGACTATACTTACTAGATGTACAAAGGGTACAAAGTATCCAAATAAAGCTATGCCGAATCCCAAAAACCAGGTAAGATATGCACGGTTTTTAAAAATGTTCAAATTCAAGCACTTCTTTGCCCAATTGCAACATTCATCCCCTTGTTGCTCTCTTTTGTTCAAAGATGCATCTACACGAGAAATGTCAGTCTGCCTTTGAAACAATGGCTTCCAAGTCAGACTACATGGTAGAAGAATACAATACAACCCTCCAAGGAAAAGGAAAGTATATTTGATTCCAAAGGATTCCAGAACAATTGGAAGAATAACAGATAAAACTATTGTGTAGACTGAACTTCCAAAAGTCACGATCCCATTCACAATACCGATATGCTTTTCAAAGTAGTGTCCAAGAATGACCAAAGAGGTAGAATAAATAAAACCTCCACCAATCCCGAGTAAGAGACCATATGTTAAGTATAGGAGCTCTAGTTGAATGACAAAAGCACTAGCGAAGAGACCAATCGCCCCTAAGCAAGCTCCAAAAAATGCTGTTGGTCGGATTCCTATGTGGTCATTGCATATACCGGCAAAAGTGCTCATCAAAAATGTTAAACCTATACAGAATGATCCTACCCATGCTGTAAAATAAGAGTCAAAGAAAAAAATTAAAAAGATACATCTAAAATTAAATACAGTAAATGTTTATAAAAAAGATTAGAATGAATTTGATAATAATAGTGTTGAGTAGAAAATTTTTTTTTATTTTTTGACGATAACAGCTGAAAACATCCTAATTGCTACATGTTTTACCGATAAATTTCATTAGTGAAAACTTAAAATGAAACAAGTTTGCTACTTACATGTTTTGAAAGCAACTGAATGATCTCCCTTGGCATATTCCTTGATTAAATACACGTATATTATGCCAAAAGTGTTGAGCATGCTGAAAGTAGTACCATTTGTCAAGAGGGATGTAACACAAACTACCCAACCCCAGCCCCCGTCGGGGGGAATAAATTCCTTTTCAATGGCCCTTTCATTATGTATCAATACCTCATCTACCTTGCTATCCAACTTTAGCGCGGATTCTGTTTCAGTTTTTGGTGGTGCCTTTTTCTCTTCACAACTGGACATCCTGAATTATATTCTGCTATATATATACATGTATTATATTAATCGCTACAAATATAATTGAATACAAACAAGAACTTTCATTCTTGTTTTTTTCTTACTGATCCTTTTTGAATTTTTGAGATTCTTGAGATCCAAACTTCAAAAATTTCTTATATGCATAGATATTACGAAGACTAATATTGAAGGAAAAAACATAGCTTATGGTAAACAATAAACTACTATTCCAAGCATATTAAATGAATTTTAGGACTGTGTAAGAGTTATTTTGAATATAAATTTGATTAATTTGCATGCATGAAATTAAAAGTAAAATTGGACATTCGTTGTACAATCTATCTAAAAGTTACTGCTCTTTGAATTTATATGCTTCTTTTTTATTAAAAAAAATATTCTCTATGAATCGAGAATATCATCTCATTTCCCCAAACATTTACATTGTGTACATATGAATACTAGTATTCCTTTTTAAAGAAAATCAAAATTATATGAATCAATTTTACCTTCATAGAGTAAGAAATGACTCAGAACGAAGTTTTTTAAGTGTTTAATTCTTCTCTTATTTTGCCTATGCAGATGCTGAATGCTCAATAACTCATCCATTCTTTAAACGGTCTTCTATCTTTCATCGTGGTATCCCAACAATACACTCATACACAGACTTTTAAACACTTTTAAATAACTTAATGTACATTTAATTATTATCTAACCGCCTTTGATAATACACACGTACGTGTTACAACTATCCACATTATGAGACAGATCATCATAATACAAAATTATTTCACTGAACTCTCCACATCCAACCCTAGGATGCGCATTTCAATGATTTATCCTTAAAATCCCGGTACATTAACCTTGTGTTCCGCATTCCAAAGCAAAGCATTGAAATGACACCGGAGTAAAATGTACCATTACACACACCAGCACACCCTCACCCGCGAACACCAATTAACACCGATTCTTACGTCTATTGTTTAGTTTAAATGTCCTGAATAAATTAAACAATTTTGTTTTTAGGTGCAACTGGGGATGCTCACTTATTCATAGCACCTGATCCCACTCTGATGTTTTGGTCAACTCAGCTCCTTTTTTTTATTGTTTTATGGACTTTTGATCTTGAATACTGTTCTTTATCTTCGTATGTTTAATTCCATACTACGACAGTTCAAAGATTGGATATACATCTAATTTAAATTTACATAAACAGGGGATGTGCTGCTGACATAAGATTTATCATAAATCAATAAACTTATAATTTAATCTGCAAATGATAACCGACAAAGAAAAAAAGAACAGAGATACTAGTACTCGTACATGTTTCCAGAAAACGCCGGTTTAGTACATTGATACTTTCAATTGCATGTGTAGACACTGGCTACTTCATTCATTGTCAGAATTTAAAAAAAAAAAGAACTCGAGAATCTTGGGGAAAATAAGGGTTATTGAAAAATATATATAACCAAAGTATTTCGGTCAATTGAAAAAATGAAAAAAAAAAATCGATTATCGATTGTATGAGCGACGTGGGGTAGGAGAGGAGGCACTTCCTTCACAACCCTTTGTATGGTTTTACACAGTCTGTGCTTGAAAATCTACGCTGGACTTTGTTAACAATAACAATATTTTCTAACGTTTTCTAACGCGTCAATACGAAGGTATTTGTGTTTTTGTATTTTATCAGAAATGCTCTAAAACAGATCCCAATTCCATATAACTGGGGTTAATAGTGCATGTTTTCCGTTCAGCAAATCAGCCATTTTTGTATGCATGCAAAGAACAAAGTATTCAAAGTCATACCTTGTGCTCTTTGTTCAACTTTTGGTAATTTCGTCTTAACAATCCTCAAATACTGCACTCATAAATGTTTTGCGTACATAGAATACTTTTTTTACAGTTAAATTTAAAGTAATGTTTCTCTTATTCTTAAATTCAATTAAATTTAATCCACAGCACATTACCCTATTCGTAATCAGTTCAGACATTTCCGAGTTCAATAGTTGCCCAGATAATCGGACATTAATTGAATGTATTTTTCCCATTTCAATTAGCTACAGCAATTTCTATTCATCATTTTATATTACCTTTCAATTAAATTCGTTAAGGAAAATGGCAGATTTCCTTCATTGAAAATAAAAACTATAGTATTAATATCTAAATAATATATAATTATGTCAGTGTCCGTTTCACATATTTATATAAGAATTGCACTTAAAATATTGAAAAAATAATGTAAATGACTTTCCAATAAAAAAAAAAACTTATCTGCATTTTAACATGTAGATTACAGACTCCTTTAAAGCTATGAAGTGATTTCTTCTTTGACATTTTCTGTATTACTTTCTAAAAATTGATAAATCTAATAAATTCAGCTTTTTAAATGTAATGCAAATTGTCTCACCTGGTCAATGATTTTCCAAAAGAACTTGAAATATTTGATTTAGCATGTCTAATTCTAAAAAGATTATAAAAAAGATAATCGAAGATAACGAAGCTAATCTCGACGAATATTATCTATTAGTAAGGCAATATCACATCTATTTGTCTAGTAAGCGAGTGCATGAGTGTATCCCGAGATCGATATTCGATATTCATGTTCATATAACATGTAATGTTGATTTAATTAAAGCTTATAATTACTTGAGAATGGACCTGATTCAAAATATTTAACTTATTTACTTATGAAGAAAAAGGTCAATTAGTTCAAACATCTAGACAAGTCTAGATCTAGAAGTGACCAATCTAAGGTTCAACATCCAAGCAAATGTAATCATAGCAGGCCATAAATAAGTAGTCCATCTTGATTTCGTCGAGGTGAGCTAAAAATCAATATGTTTGTCATGTATTAAAGCCATGGCATTTTTCTAAAACCTATTCCTCGCTCTCGATAGTCTTTTTGCAGTTTTTCCACAATTTGGTCCAGGTAGGACGTACATGAATAGTTACTTGGTAATGGAGCTGCGCCGAAATCTGGTCACTCATCTAAAAATCGAGGTCGGATCCAGCATCCGCAGCAACTTTGTAAGTGTCCAGCCCTATATGCATCATTCATGAAGTTTTGTCTAGGAAGGGCTTATTATTACATGGTTATGGACCTGCTTCGAAAACTTTAACCGTATATCATAAGACCATCTTGATTTCGTCAAGGTGAGCTAACAATCAATATGTTTGTCATGTATTAAAGCCATGGCATTTTTCTAAAAACTATTCCTCGCTCTCAATGATTGTAAGCAATCTCAATATATGTCTAAACCAGAAGTCTCTGTTGAGACTGAAGCTCTACTGCTTTGTACTCATAACAAAGGAAAAGTAGCATTTGTGACTTGAAACTTTACAACAGCAATAAATATAATATTGATCCTTGTAACTTAAAATCAAGGATCAATAGTATTTTCAATTTTAGTTACCATGGCAACACCATTCATTAAAAAAACAATACAGACAATTGTGTATCTCAGTTTAGTCTACTTGTATTCCAAGTTATATTGAAATCAGACTAAAACTGTTGGAGGAGTAGCATTTTTTGAGAGTATTTCACAGAAAGAGGATAAGCCACGGAGTCCCAAATACGGCCTAGTCACCAAAATAAATGAAACTCTCTCAAATAAAACTCAAGGATTTGTAGGTTATAGTACAATTTACCTTTTAAAAATATCTTTTCTAGTTTTCTTTTTACCGTCGTTTAAAGTTGGTATTGTATTCCAAGCGAATACCACAGAACGTCATAACGTTGACGTTTTACATTATATTGTAACGTTATGACGTTTTATATTATAACGCCATGACGTTACATTATCTATAGAAGGTAACACATGAATGTTAATAGTTGATAATCCATCAAACTATGCCTTAATTCAACTATTTAGGAAAAATTTACCAGATTTTCCCGAGAATTTCTATTTGAGATGATTAGTGCTTTCTAAGTCACTGTCGTCCAATAACTAAAGGTGTCCGGCCGGCAACCAAGCCATATTTATTTAAGAAACAAAACAAAACAAAAAACATCGGTTTCTCATCGTATACACCAATCACTGGACAATATGACTGACACTTAACTTAGAGCTATTTTTGTGCCAAACATTTGATTATTTAAAAAAAAAATAAATAAAGTAAGACAACAAAGCAGAAAATATTGCGATTTTTTAAAGAAAGAGGGCGTATAAGGCGTGGACAATCCCCCGCTATGAGACAAAATTTTTCTCAATTTTCAAAATTCTAATTTTTCTAAAATCATGTTCTCAGTAATGTCATCTTCAAAACATTTTATCATTTAATTTTACTGAACGACCTTTTATTTGATAATCTTTATTTAAAAGTATACAGTTAAGCATATTTAGTGGAAAATGGGTTTATTAGAGCAATAAAAAATGAATTTTGAACATGAATGGGTCAAGTCTCCATTCTTCGTTAACGCTTAAATGTTGGAAACGTAAATGAAAAATCTATTTCATTTGTCCAAAAATGGAATGTGAACCCATTCTATATGAAAATCGAAAATTTCTGAAAAAATATACGCTTCAACAAATCCGTTCATTTAAATCACACTGACCGACGTCGATAATGCATATACTTCGTAGCGTAGTGGTTAAAGTGATCGGTCCTGGACCAAACCCTACGCTATGGAGAGAGTTCGAATCATACGTGAAGTTTTTTCTTTTTTGTTTTCACATATCTTAAAAGCATGAGTGAAAAATAAATTATCATCAAAATATTAAAACAATAAAATACAGAATTAAATGTGTAAAAGATTATATAAACAATATAATTTTGAAAAATATAAATTTTAAAATCGAGAAATGTCTTTTCTCAGAGCGGGGGACTGTCCTTGCCTTGTTCGCGTCCATTCTTTCAGCAAATCGCGCGCGGTCGTTTGAATTCGCGGAAAGGAAAAATCAGACTTGTAAGGGTTTTTCTTTAGGTATATATTATTAAGACTGGTCTTCCCCGTCTCTTTCTTACGAAACTTCAAAGTCTGTACATGTATAACGCGCATATCAGACAGG